AGAAATGGGAACCCTACGGAATGGGATTCAGAGTGCTGAAGTTTCCTATTTCCTTTCTTTTCCCTTTTGCAAGGCTACTTGCAAGAATCTATTATGGCATGATACACACTGGTGTTATTTCTTTACAAAATGACTTTTTATGTTTGTGGATGGGAAATCGTAGCAAGTCAGGATCCTAAATGGTTTGCAACTGGGTATTAAGTAAGTGGAGGCCAATCTATTTGTAGCAAGAACATGGGGATGTCTCACCTACAAAAAAGATCGTTCCTACAAATTATGTACAATATGCCTTTCTCTAAAAGCCATAAACCACAACTCCCCATCATTCTTTTCTGTAGTCCTGTACACACTTATTATTAGATACACAGTGGATTGCTTTTGAACAAGTGTACATGGGATTGTGCTATTTACTCAAGAAAGATAACCAAAGCCCAGCTAAAAGTCTTGCCCATTCTATTCAATAGCAAATATTTAACTAGGCAATGTTTGCCCTAAAAGGAAATTCACACAACCATTTTTGGAGGGGTGGAAAGTCACGAGGAGGTTTTCCTCTGTTTTCCTACAACAAATGGTTTATGAAAGCATTTCTAGAACGTCCATGACATTCATGCCCAGGGCAATCCATTTCTGTACAAGGGTGATTTTCTGAAAGGCAGAGGGAGATACTTTCATGAATGCCAAAAGCGTTGCCCCCTGATGTTTTATTTGAAGCGTGCCCTACACTCTTCTAAAATTGGATGGGTTAACAGAAAAAGGAAGAGGGGTAAGCCCAGTGCTTTTTTTCTAAAAAAATGTTTAGGCGTACTCTCATTTTCCTACTCATATTGAAATACTGCCCCTCAATGAGTCCAAACTTAGATTGACAAAATGTTTAGGGATGTGCGTACCCCTGCGTACCCCCAGAAAAAAAGCACTGGGTAGGCCCCACTGATTCCCATATTACTTTAGCATTGCAAAAAGTACATCCTGCCATCCCCTACCACGCCAAAGCAAATTCTGTCATGAGCAAGAGAAAATGGGGAGGGAGAGCCTGTTGTTGTTGTTTAGTCGTTTAGTCGTGTCCGACTCTTCGTGACCCCATGGACCAGAGCATGCCAGGCACTCCTGTCTTCCACTGCCTCCCGCAGTTTGATCAAACTCATGCTGGTAGCTTTGAGAACGCTATCCAACCATCTCGTCCTCTGTCATCCCCTTCTCCTTGTGTCCTCCATCTTTCCCAAGGGAGAACCTACTGACCTGTAAAGCTACATAAATTGGAGGTCAATGTGCCAGTGTAGAAGCTACTCTTGAATCAGGCACACAGGGGATTATAGCCATAGCCAAGAACATACACTGTAGATCTTTCAAGACACTGCCTTAGGTTTAGGTAAAGTGAGGTGGCCACCTCAGTTGGAAGATTTTGCATATAGCAAAAGAGCAGCAGGTATATTTAATTTATTATTGTTGTGTTTTTATTGACAGGTGACTGGTGACAGGAAAGCATAGATGTCCTTTGGGGGTTTACTGTCTCAGGTGCCAAGGTATCTTGGCCCAGTTATTGCACCTTGATTTGTGGGGGAAAGGGATGCCATTGGCTGTTCTGACTCAGGTAGGAAAATGTTTTTGACTGGCCCAGTTTACCATTGTATGCAGAACAGATATATGAAGAGCCTAAATTCCAATAGCATGATTCAATAAAACTAATGTATACATTCTTCCTGAATAGTGGAATTTTAATTCAACATAGCTATATTATTATTATTATTATTATTATTATTATTATTATTATTATCATTATCATTATCATTATTATCATTATTATCATTATTATCATTATTATTATACACCGCCCTATACCCGGAAGTCTCAGGAAGGCAACCCCTAAGCTTTCAGAGCATTGTTGTTCCTCAAAATATTTTCATGAACACTTTGCTTCAGGGTGTTTTCACCTTCTGTGAGTAATAATTCAGGGGAAGCATTTGGATTTTTCCAAAAACTAAGGATGTGATTCTCAGGATTTGAGGAAATCGTTGGAATTTTTTTCTAAACAGATGTTTGGACGGGAGATTTCTATCAGTGTCACTGATCATGAAATTAGAATATGATATTAAGTTTTTAGAAAACTAAGGATTAGCTGCAGAAATTGCAAACATTAAAGGAACACCTTTCTCCAAAGGAAGAACAGAAGACTAAGTACAGTATACAAAGGGCTCTTGTGTGCAATGCTCGTACATATGTGTATATCTCTACGTACAACCTAGTTCTCACACAAATGGAAATGCAAAGTCACCTCAATTATATTGTCCCAGTGTATAATGAATGCCATCAGCTTCTTAAACTTAGCCAGATTTTAATTCCTTCTCCTCAAATATCTCTATCATTATGTCTCCCTGTACACTTGAGATGTGACTGTATCCATTATAGCAGTCAGTCAGCCATGGCCTATTGCTTAATTTAATAACAGATTATGCTGGCCAGCATTTAATAGTCATTAATATCCTAATAACATTAAAGTATTCAGTATTGAACTTAATTGTAATGCTGATGAGAGCTGAAGTAATTGCAGTGGAATTTCAATAATAAATCACAGCCCTCTCTTGGATCTTTAATAAACTGACAACCGGTGCTAAATAAACTAGATGTAATAAAAGGTGACGCTGAAAATTTAAGACATGCAGGCACGATTTGAAAGGTACAGATCGAGGCCTGAAAACCTGATGCACCCGGGAAATCTATTGGAAGCCAGTAGGTGTCATGTGGGCTTCTGCAAGTCAGGCACAGATTCCCAGCACCTTTTGCAATGTTTGGAATGGCAGCTCCAAACCAGAATAACATCATTGGTCAGAAGATGATTTCAGAGATGAATGGCTGATGAAGACGATGGACTATGCCAAGATGGCAAAATTGACTGGGAAAATCAGAAACCAGGAAGAGAAGAATTTCAAGAAAGAATGGAGGGAAATCATAAGGTACTTAAGAGAACACTGTAAACAACTAAAAACATTGGTGGGATTTGAGTAATGCTTGTAATGTACAAAAAACTATGGTTAAAAATGGATTATTCTTTTTTTAAAAAATGGAGAAAATAAGGGAAGCAGTTGGGGAAAAAAGATTGATAATGGTAACCATGGAAGGGTGGAGGGAATCCTAAATGATGACCTTGATGTTTAAAGTTTGAATTTAAATTTGTTATGTAAACCCCAATAGAAATATATTTAACACAGAAGATGATTTCGGAAACAGATGACCATAGAAATGCCCATCTATTTTTAAAATTATATTATTACATTTATAGCCCACCTTTCTTCCTAGGTGTTCAAGGTGGTGCATGTGGTTACCCTCCCATTTTTATCCTAACCCTGTGAAGTAGGTTAGACTGAGAGATTGTGACTGGCCCCAGGTCACCTACTAATCTTTATGGCTGAGTGAGGATTTGAATCCTGGTCTCCTAGGCCATAGTTCTGCACTCTAAGCCACTTTCTGCCATAGTGCGTCCAAATCTACTGCAGCCCTTTGTCACTGAGGATGCCACACACAGGGTTTTCCCTCTGGACTGTCCCATTTTCCTGCCAACTTCTTGCCTTCTTCATTCCAGGCATTTTCAGCTTCTCCAAACAGTTTGTGTCTCTGCTAGCCATTGCCAAAACATGGACCAGGTTGCTCAGTATAGAACAGTTTCATGAATGAAGTATCTATTTGAGGGAGAACCATTTCACATCCATTCTCCTCTATGCAGCACCAGATGTGGGTTGAGTGCACCCATCTCCAGTTTCACCCAAAACGATTGTATTGGCAGTAGGTCCAGAACAGGCAAGAGGGGGTCGTGTTTCACACAATGTGTGATTAACTTAGGAATCCTCTGCCTCAGGATGTGGTAATGACCACTAGCCATCTAGGTGGCTTTTTTAATGGGTTGGACAAAATCCATGATTACAATGGCTTCATAAAGACAAAGGAAATGGTTTGGACTTTCGGAGGAAAAGAGAACTAGCCCTGCTGTACACTGGGGAGGGCTGTGTGGAGAGAGTCTCTTCCTTTAAATTTCTAGGAGTTTATCTCAGTGAAGACCTTACTTGGAAAATCAATACAACCCAGGTGGTTAAGAAAGCCCAACAGAGACTCCATCTCCTCAGAGTATTGCAAAAGAACGATGTCAATCAACATTTGATGATCTCCTTTTACCGGTCCACAACAGAAAGTGTCCTTTCATACTGCATCACGGTGTGGTACGCTGGTTTGACATCAACGGATAGGAAATGCCTACAGAGGGTGATGAATACAGCACAAGATTTTATGGGCTGCCCGTGAATCCGCTGGATGACATCATGGAAGAACATTACCTCAGGAGAATGAGGAAAATTCTCAGGGATGATTCACACCCTGGCCGGCACTTTCTTGATCTCCTGCCCTCAGGCAGAAGATATAGAATAATAATAATAATAATAATAATTTATTTGTACCCCGCCCATCTGGCTGGGTTTCCCCAGCCACTCTGGGCGGCTTCCAACAAAGATGAAAAATACACTAAAATGTCACATATTAAAAACTTCCCTGAACAGGGCTGCCTTCAGATGTCTTCTGAATGTCAGGTAGTTGTTTATCGCTTTGACATCTGACGGGAGGGCGTTCCACATGACTAGTCGCACCAACAGGGTAAAGAACAGCTTCTATCCATGGGCTGTTAGGCTGCTGAATGAAAAGATAATAACAGGGCAACTGACTTTTGGGTTTGGTGGGTATGCATCAATAAACGAGGGGAATTAAGACTGAGAGAGATGAGTGGGGGGCGGGTCTTGTGTAATCTCACTGTATACAAGTTGTGCAAGTGACAATAAAGTATTTCAGTAATGGAGCCTCTACATTCAGAAGCAGAGGTTGGTGACATAAAATGGGAAAGGGCTACTGTCTTCAGGTTTTGCTTGTCTGCTTCCCAGAGGCATCCATCTAGCCACTACTTAGTTACTTACTTACTTACTTACTTACTTACTTACTTACTTACTTACTTACTTATTTCCCCAGCCACTTTGGGTGGCTCGCAACAGAATATTAAAAATAGAATCAAACATTAAAAACTTCCCTAAACAGGGAAGGGTTCTAGACTAGCAGTTGCTTCTGATTTAGGAAGGCTTGCAATAAGCTGTTTTCTGATGGCAGTCTTTGCAGATCTCACTCATCCGCCTGTAATGAAAGGGATTTTTTAAAATGCATAAATATCTATTTGCACCAACAGGCAGGTATGCGATGGTTTTACAATTGGCTGCAATTAGGAGTGGGGAAGAAATTCAACTGTTCACATTTAAATTTGCACTTTCTGAAACAGTGTCTGAACTGGAACCTAGCCCTCTTTCCAGATTTGCAGTTCTCTGGATTTTGCAGTGTAGTTCTCCAACTAAGTAATGTGTACAAAATTCCATGTATTTGGGTATGCATATAAATGCACAAATTAGTAAAACAGTAATAATAATAACATGCAGAAATGTTTCCCCTATAGGGGAAATTATTTGCAAGAACTGGGTATATTTGTCTAATTTGCACACAAAAATGTGTGTTAAAAATGTGTGTTAAGAGAATTTTGCACTAAAACGCTGAAGAATTTTCATGAGGTTTTTTTATTATTATTATTGAATAGTTGCAGAGATGTGGAGAAGTGATTTTAAAAATGGAGAAAGGGTCTGTCTGTCCCTAGTTGCAAGGCATTCAGTGTGAACTAGAATGGAAGGAGATTTTACTCAGTGAAAATTCCCAGGTAAATGGGTACATACGCAAAGGAAGAGCCAGGGAAGAACGGCAGAGAATTGAACTTTTGCTGACTTCATTAGAGAAAGCCAAGAATGTGCCCTGCAGCTTACAGCCAGGTACTTAGCTGAAACAGAAAAATGGCATCTGCCTGTTTCAGAGAAGATCCTGAATACAGAGGCAACAAATACAAGGCTCCCAGTATTGCACCTCATGCTTTCAGCTCAAATGTTTATAAAAGGAAACACTCTGGCTTAGCCAGGAATACTGTGAATAACATCTTTTCTTTCAATACTGAAGTTTTTCCAGGCTGGTCCAGGCAGATCTGTCAAGGGCAGAGACATGTGGCAAGGAACGGGAAGGAGGAAAGACTGCCATACTTTTCTAAAACTTGAAGATATGGCTGAGGGTTCATGAGACGGTCAGACTTAACCCTCACACCCAAAATGTCAGCTAAAGGAAGCATGACCAGTTAATAGGGGTTACTATTTTGCTTTGCTTTTGTTTTATTATGCATTTTGTGTTTTCATTTTGTATTTTTGTGTTGTGGACTGCTCTGTGATCTTCGGATGAAGGGCGGCCTACAAATTTAATAGACAAACAAAGAAAACATCTGGAAGGCAGCATGTTGGCTGCCCCTCATGTAACGCATGCTTATAATGGCCAAAAACTAAGATCTGCAGCCAGGATTGTTTAAAGGGGAGTGACTTTAACAGAACCAGAGCCTGTGAATGGAACTGATACAAAAGGAGTCAAACAGCATCAAATTATTCAGGGTTGTAAGACAAACTGGGAGTTATTTACTCTTTACCCGAGTAAATAACAATCATTAAAAATGGTGAACATAGTTGAGCGTAAGCAATGATTCAGTGATGCACATCGGAGCAAAAAATTCTAAGTTCATATAAACACATAGGAACTTGACTGACCAGGCAATGAGAAGTTGGAGTCATAGTAGGTAGGATGATGAAGATGTTGACCCAGGGTGTGACAGCTGTGAAAAAGGCAAATTCCATGTCAGGGATCATTAGGAAAGAGATTGAAAATAAAGCTGCCAATATCATAAAGCCATTAAAAAAACCTCTGATGTGCCTGCACTGCGCTGTGTGATTGCTACATCTCAAAAAAAGAATATTGTAGAACTGGAAGAGCGTCAGAAAACGTCAGTCAAAATGAGCATGGGGCTGGAAGTGAGAAGTTACAACATTTCAGTTTTTTAGTTTAGGGAAAAAAAGGCAAGCAAGGGATGACATAAAACTATGTACAAAATTATGCACAGTATATAGAAAGTAGGGAACACGGGTGGCGCTGTGGGTTAAACCACAGAACCTAGGACTTGCCGATCAGAAGGTCGGCAGTTTGAATCCCCATGACGGGGGGAGCTCCCGTTGCTCGGTCCCTGCTCCTGCCAACCTAGCAGTTTGAAAGCACATCAAAGTGCAAGTAGATAAATAGGTACCGCTCTGGTGGGAAGGTAAACAGCATTTCCGTGCGCTGCTCTGGTTCGCCAGAAGAGGCTTAGTCATGCTGGCCACATGACCCGGAAGCTGTACGCCGGCTCCCTCGGCCAATAAAGCAAGATGAGCACCGCAACCCCAGAGTTGGTCACAACTGGACCTAATGGTCAGGGGTCCCTTTACCTTTTATATAGAAAGTAGATAGAGAAATTTCCCTTTCTCATAATACTAGGGCCTGGGGGGTCATCCAACGAAGCTGAATTTTAGAAGATTAGGGACATACAAAGAGATGTACCTCTTCAGACAGGACTTAGGCTCATCCATACTGTCATTGGATGTGGATAGTAAGCTTCCGGCACCTCCATTAATTCTTCATTGTCCATATCATGTTCTCCACCAAACCACTTCCTTCCCTTCTTTCAGTCTGGATTTTCTCACAACAGGAATGCTCCAAAAATGAGTGAATGATTCACTGCTAAAGAGTGCTATGGGTAACCCACTGCTATGGGTTGCCTTGCCCCACTGCTTCCTATGTGGGTGGCCCAGAGCTACCTTCTTCCATGCCTCCTGCTTCTCTTGGGTTCCCCAGCAGTGCCCAATTTATTTCCAGCTGGCTGGTGATGGTTGTGGGCTAATTTCTTAACTTACTTCTACTGGAGCTTTCAGGCACCATTTTGCACTCAAGTAAATCATTTGCTTTTATCGTGTTTGTGTGTTATTTATTTTGCGGAATCATTGGGGGAGAGGAGTAGTGGTTTTCAGCTTACCCCATTTATTTAAAAAAGGCAAAAAATATCAAAAATTCAGTGTATTTTGGTCACCAAATAAATAAATAAAAATTAATTTCATTTAATTAATAATAATAATAATAATAATAATAATAATAATAATAATAATAATAATTTATTATTTGTACCCCGCCCATCTGGCTGGGTTTCCCCAGCCACTCTGGGCGGCTTCCAACAAAGATAAAAAAAATACACTAAAATGTCACATATTAAAAACTTCCCTGAACAGGGCTGCCTTCAGATGTCTTCTGAATGTCAGGTAGTTGTTTATCGCTTTGACATCTGATGGGAGGGCGTTCCACAGGACGGGCGCCACTACCGAGAAGGCCCTCTGCCTGGTTCCCTGTAACTTGACCTCTCGTAGTGAGGGAACCGCCAGAAGGCCCTCAGAGCTGGACCTCAGTGTCCGGGCAGAACGATGGGGGTGGAGACGCTCCTTCAGATATACTGGACCAAGGCCGTTTAGGGCTTTAAAGGTCAGCAGCAACACTTTGAATTGTGCTCGGAAACTTACTGGGAGCCAATGTAGGTCTTTCAAGACCGGTGTTATATGGTCTCGGCGGCCGCACCCAGTCACCAGTCTAGCTGCCGCATTCTGGATTAGTTGTAGTTTCCGGGTCACCTTCAAAGGTAGCCCCACGTAGAGCACATTGCAGTAGTCCAAGCAGGAGATAACCAGAGCATGTACCACTCTGGCAAGACAGTCCGCAGGCAGATAGGGTCTCAGCCTACGTACCAGATGGAGCTGGTAAACAGCTGCCCTGGATACAGATTTGACCTGTGCCTCCATGGACAGCTGTGAGTCCAAAATGACTCCCAGGCTGCGCACCTGGTCCTTCAGGGGCACAGTTACCCCATTCAGGACCAGGGAATCCTCCACACCTGCCCGCCTCCTGTCCTCCAAAAACAGTACTTCTGTCTTGTCGGGATTCAACCTCAATCTGTTAGCCGCCATCCATCCTCCAACTTAATACATTTTATTTTATTAAATAAAATTAAATTTTTATTTCCCTCACCCATGTGGAAATAATTTAAACAGCAGTTATTGTATATTTGACTTGAAAACAAATTCATTTCAAGTAAGCCTATAGAGGGCAGAAGGAAATAGAAACATCTATGCCATTTGTAGCCTAAAAGCCACTGGAATAATTAGATGGTTTCCACTGATGTCAGTGGGGTTTGGATCAGACACATTATACAATGTCTATAATCTTCCAGTACCCCCTGTGCTACCTAAAAACGATCACAACATTTACAGTTACTGGTAGAATTATGCTTGAGTTATGAATCACCTTCTGCGTATGTCTGGCCTCCTATCTTGAGTCATTTTATTATTACTATTGTAATCAGACTTGTCTTGTACAGCACATTGTTGTCAGCTACGTGTTGTTGCCTAGATAGTTAAAGAGACTGTGGACCACCATAGCAGCACAAGGAGTAATAAATATTTTGATTAAGATACCATTGTCTGCAGTTCCTAACACTGCTTACCAGCAACAGACAAATTCCTTTTCATGGTGTCAGTGTCTGTGGCGTCCAAAGTCTAAAAATCTACACTTCTGCGTGTTTTAATTCAGACATTTGCTTCATTTGTGCTTAAAAAGAAAAAAAGAAAAATAGTTCCAAACAAAAGTATGTTATATTTCCTGCAAGGAAAGCACTTCCTCTGCTGAGTCATACTCAAGAGAGTGGGGAGCAGCCTCTGTTTAAGCCAGGGGTAGTTGGAATTCCAGAAGTTGTTGGAATACAACACCCACCTTCCCTATTGGCCAACAACATCTGGAAGGCACCATATTGGCTACCCTAGGTATAAGCTTAGGGTCCTTAGTTATTTATTTATTTCATAATTATACAGTGTGGGGCTTTCCCACCTAATATGGCCAATGCGATAATCAGTTGCAAGTGTTGACCTGGGAAAGCTTCTGCTCATGAATCTGAACTGCAAAGGGACCAGAAGAGGTGTTCTACAGGGGTGGCCCCATGCACAAGGTGAGGTGAAGCCATTTGCTTCAGGTGGTGGCTCCAACACCCACCCCACCTTGGCCATGGTGCTGCTGCCAGGCCTCCTGTAGGATTTTCCTTTCCCCTTCATAAACCCTATTGTATTACAGTTGTTGTTTTCTGTGCATTCTCTGGGTGGGCTCATCTTAAAGAAATCCCTTTCCATTCGAAATAAGAAGAAGAAGAAGAAGAAGAAGAAGAAGAAGAAGAAGAAGAAGAAGAAGAAGAAGAAGAAGAAGAAGAATTTATTATTTATACCCCGCCCATCTGGCTGAGTTTCCCCAGCCACTCTGGGCGGCTCCCAATCAGTGTTAAAAACAGTACAGCGTTACATATTAAAAGCTTCCCTGAACAGGGCTGCCTTAAGATGTCTTCTGAATGTCAGGTAGTTGTTTATCTCTTTAACATCTGATGGGAGGGCGTTCCACAGGGCGGGCGCCACTACCGAGAAGGCCCTCTGCCTGGTTCCCTGTAGCCTCACTTCTCGCAATGAGGGAACCGCCAGAAGGCCCTCGGCGCTGGATCTCAGTGTCCGGGCTGAGAGGAAGAAGGAAAGCTGTTGCAACTTTCCTTTGCAATAGCTTCTTGTTTCGCTTTGAAAACTGGGAGGAGTGTTCAGAAATACAGACCACGGAAGTGATTTTAAGTGTCGTTGAATAACTCTCGCCATTCCTTCAGTATCTGCAGTGATGACGCCATAGTAGAATTCCAGTTGCTGAGAATATGTTCTATATGTCATAATATTGGAAGTTTTCATCCAATTTTAAAAAATCCATACACTACATCTAGATCTTTTTTTTAATGGGGAAAAAAATCTGCCATACTTTCCCAGCTTGAGTTATTAATTACACATTCTATTCTCCCACAGAAGCTCTTAACTTTAAAAGATTAAATGGCTTGATTAGCAGTGTTTAGCTTCTCCTAGGTGGTTTATTGAATGTCACATTTAACATTCTGGCACCTCACAGAAGAAACTTAAAATCCTTGCAGGTTGGAAGAAATATGACTATTTTTTCCCAGGGAGCAACAGAAGGGCAATTTGTTACATATTCATTAACTCATCATATTGGACATTTCTATTTATACTCCAGGAAATTGACATGTTATGTGCTGCAATGCATATCATTTATAATATTGATGTAGAGCTGCTTTTTCAAGTATTTCTCGAAAACCCTTTCTAGCAAGCATGAATTAGACTGGTGTCCAAATTGCTGTTGCATAATCTGTTAACCATTTCATAATATTACTTTCCAGGACTATCCAAATTTTCAAAAGTGATGCCCGAGCCTGGAGTGAGTGATATCTGGAGAGATGGGTTGGAGATGGGAAGTGGGCTTCCAACGCAGGGATGTCCAGACCTATGGGATTTGGTCCTGGGCCAGGGAGAAACTGGAGCTGTGGGGACCTTGGAGGGACATTGAAGCACGCTGTGAAACTTCCTTTGGATTTTAATGCCGATTATGGAGAATGGGTTGATCTGCCGAGAAGGGTTAAAGACATTGTTAAGTTGGAGCCTCTCAGAGATCTACTCCTCAGTGTTAAAGGAAAGAAACTGAAAATAAGATCAACAGATGACAAAGTAAAGGGCAAGTACAAATTTGAAGAAGATCCGCAGAAGGGACATGGAGAAGAGTTAAGAGCCTCGGATATAAGATCACCAGGCTGATGGACTAGAGGGAATGGACAGAAAGGACTGACAGAACCCGAGACTGGAAGAAGAGACGGTGGATGAAGACTGGAAGAAAGTTATAAAAATTTATTTAAAGAAACATTGTAAAGTTAATGAGTCTTAGGAAAATGTTGGAATGAAATTATTTGGCTTTAGTAGAAATGTTATAAGGAGATAAGTTTAAATAAGTCCTAAATTTTTAGGGTTTTTTAAGTGAAAATTTTAAGGGTAAATTGTGTCAAGATGAATTATAGAACAAAATCTGAGAAAGAGGGAAAGGATTTGCTGAAACAGCTAATTGAATTAGAATACAAAAAAGGGAGGTGTGAGGAAGTCAAGGAAATAAGTAAATGAAAGATAAAGATATGAAAATATCGGATCTGTTTTTTTTCTTTTTAAAATGTTTTTGTTTTTAAAAGTT